GGAAAAAGTATTGAACACACTTACTGAAATTTATCTAATACTTTGTACAAAAGCCTTTGTTGTCAATGACAGCTTCAAGACGCCTCCTGTATGGAGAAACTAGTGGCATGCATTGCTCAGGTGTGATTTTGGCCCATTCTTCCACACAAACAGTCTTCAAATCTTGAAGGTTTCGTGGACCTCTTCTATGAACTCTGATCTTTAGTTCTTTCCATAGATTTTCTGTTGGATTCAGGTCAGGTGATTGGCTGGGCCATTCCAGCAGCTTTAGTTTCTTTCTCTGAAACCAACTGAGAGTTTCCTTGGCTTTGTGTTTGGGCTCATTGTCTTGCTGAAATGTCCAGCCACGTTTCATCTTCATCATCCTGGTAGATGGAAGCAGATTTTTATCAAGAATGTCTCTGTACATTTTTCCACTCATCCTTCCTTCAATTATTTGAAGTTTGCCAGTACCATATGCTGAAAAACAGCCCCACACCATGATGTTCCCACCTCCAAACTTCACTGTTGGTATGGTGTTTTTGGGCTGATGTGCAGTGCCATTTGACCTCCAAACATGATGTGTATTCTGGCATCCAAACAGTTCAATGTTGGTCTCATCTGACCAGACTATATTCTCCCAGTATTACACAGGCTTGTTTAAATGTTGTGCAGCAAACTTTAAAGGAGCTTCAACATGCTGTTTCTTCAGCAGTGGAGTCTTGCATGGTGAGCGTGCATACAGGCCGTGGTGGTTCAGTGCATTACTTATTGTTTTCTTTGAAACAAWCGTACCTGCTAATTCCAGGTCTTTCTGAAGCTCTCCACAAGTGGTCCTTGGCTCTTGGACAACTCTTCTGATAATTCTTTTCACTCCTCTGTCAGAAATCTTGTGAGGAGCACCTGGTCGTGGTCGGTTTATGGTGAAATAATGTTCATTCCACTTCTGAATTATGGCCCCAACAGTGCTCACTGGAACCTTCAGAAGTTTAGACATTCTTCTGTAACCGATGCCATCATTATGCTTTGCAACAATAAGGTTGTGAAGGTCGTGAGAGAGCTCTTTACTTTTACCCATCATCAGATGGTTCTTGTGTGATACCTGGTCATCATTTGGGACTGAACCAGCTGTTATTAATTTGCACTGACAAGGAGCAGACTTGCTTTCTAATTACTGAGAGAGTTCAGCTGGTGTCTTGGCTTTCCATGCCTTTTTACACCTCCCTTTCTTCATGTGTTCAATACTTTTTCCCTGTGCCATTCCACATTATTACAAATAACTTCATTTCTGGACATTTATGGTTTGATTTCTTTGTATGTATGGATCACTTGGGTTGTTACCRACATCTGGTGAAAATTTCATGTCWTTAGCACCTCTAGTAATATATTTACTGAGAAAAATGGTGACGTGTTCAATACTTGTTTTACCCGCTGTATATAGTCGTAAACCCCATCTATGAAACTAGAATGGACCACTCTGGAAGCTGAGGAGAGGCGGGGTTTGAAGCACCTCGTTTTGATTTAAAGAGACAGCTTCTAAACGAGTTGATCTGAGACACACCTCAGAAAATGGGTGGGGCTTGTGGAGTTACAATTAGGAGGAATTCAGACCAATGTCTGCTTTAAAGCTGTCTATTTCAGATAATTTTTATCTATTGATTTAAATTTTTAACCCTGAAACAACAGTGTTTGTCGTTCACTTGTTCGTTCTCCTAGTTTTTAATAATCGCAGGCATCAAAATATGACACCTTTGTCAGGTACAAGAGATGAAGAGGAGAGAGGTGAAAAAGGTGCTAAAGTCTGAAGAGAACCTTGAAAATCTTTCAGGAAACATAAATATAATCTGAGATCACTTTTACATAAAAGTTCCACAAGAAATTTTTGTATTTATTCTGTATTTCTTTGTTTTTTGGTCACATGCTACTTTTTTCTAAGACTTATACAATCAGAAAGCTGGAATGGTGTAGACCTCGAACAAAACATTAGTGAAACTAAATAAAGATGCACGTTATAATGTTCACTTTACCTCCACATTTACAGGACCTTATTATAGACCATTGTTCATGCCTTGCCTGACTGTTTATCATAGCAGAGAGGAAAACACTTCAGACTGAGTAAAGGACAAAATGGCGTATCGATCAGAGAAACTGCAGACTTGTCACTTTCTGAGAGCGGGCCTGTTTTCTGTAACACGCGAGGCTTGTGTGCTGTATTGAATTTCATTTAGAGCTTTTAACAAAATAGGGTTAATCACAAAGAGCTTTATGGAGCAACAACAGGACACAAAGGCAATTACTGAATAAGGGGGAAGATGCAAAGAGGCGTAATCCGGTCAGAGGGCTTCAGAGAAACCTCTGAGCTTCAGACGGATGTGTCGCGGAGCGGGAATCATCCCTCTGGGAGCACAGCTAATAGATTATGTCAAGAATAGGCTCGAGCCCAGTGAAGCCTCACTGTGTGTGTGGCAGGGAACAAGATACAAGAAAGAATGTGTGTTTGTGTGAGTGTCTTTATTTTCTTTTTTGTTTTGTTTTTTACCTTAGGTTCTTTCATGTAGCAGTACATGGCTTGAGTCACATCAGCAGCATGAACAGCATTGTGATAAGGGTTGTGGGAATGGTAATCATCCTGCACCAAACCTGGAAAAACAAGTGAGTCAGTCGGAGAAAAGCATCTACAAATGTACAGCAGCTTTTTGTTAAACACATTTGTAGTCATCAGAAAAAGTGCACAAATGGTAGATTTGAATTATTGGTAAATAATAGCTGTCTCAATTCAGGGGTTGCAGCCCACATAAACCGCAACCCACGTAGGCCACACCCTTCACAGTCTAGTTAGGCTGCACGGTGATACGCATTATGTCACGTGTCACATCTTTTCACGTGAGGTATAACTTCACAAAATTCAGTATTACTGAAAAACGTTACTCGTAAATTAATTTAAAAACATTAATTATTTGGGTTTAGCTCCAGTCTCAGTGCTTGTAACTGCATTTTATTTAACTAAACACACATTAAAAAACAAATTCTTCGATCCGTGATAAATTTCTTGACTCCAACGGGAATAAAAAACCTTAACCGTCTTTGTTTTTCTGTTTAGGTGCAATGAATCTTGGGATATCGTCAGCCATGTTGGATACTGAGAGGCAGCGTACGTTCTGTGGGCCGCATTTAAACGAGTCTACGAACTGGCACGGTCTGTGTTGCGGCGCCTGGTTGTGCACCTCCAAATTTTCGCACGGGCTGCGTGCGCCGCACTCCGTTTAAGTACTTTGTCCATCAAGCGTTTGTTCTTGTTTTAAAGTTTCTTACGTTCTAAAGTGTACTGCCACATGTGCTCTAGGAGAATACTACACTAAGGTAAGCATCGAGTGTTAACGCCTACACCGTCAGCGACACTCAAAAGTGCGACTATAACTGAGCCTTTGAAAATGAGGAGGATTTTCTCACAGCTTACCAAGAAACCTGTGCAGTTTAACCATGTCCAGCTGGAAGTGGTGAATCAGACCACAAACGTTGAAAAGATGACACATCAGAGTCACCAGACTGTTACCTGAAGCACACAATGTTCATTTGGAAAAATAAACATTTTCAGCTCAAACTTTGTACAAAGACATCTATATATCTATTTCTATATACATACACATAAAGAAAAAAAACTCACCGTTTGTAAGACGATCAAAGAGGAAAATGTCAAAGCTCCATGAGTCTACTTTTGATAACATGTGCTGTAAAACAGACAGAACGGTCAGTTTGACATGTGGTCTCATACATGACAGTCTGCTAAGGTTGGTGTTGGTGTCCTCACAGCTGCCTGTCCCAGGTAGTCATCGTCCAGCAGGTGGAGCGACCCGGGGGTGTGTGAAACCAAACCCCTCAGCAACCTGGAGGCGTGGAAGTACCTCTGGAAGCTCAGCAGACGCTTTAACTTTCTCCTGGTGCCAGACTCAACCTGCCCCTGCTGTGCACTCGCTAAAATAAATTTAAAAAAAAAAACAATATCTACATTAGACATGGGTTTTTATGATGTAAAAACAAGTGTGCATTGCCTTGCCTGCAGCTTGAACTGTGACCAAGTTGAAATGTGTTTGCTAATCAACTACCAGCTTGTGCCTGCCATGTCAGCAGTTGTTTGTAATGAGGGTAAATGTGTGAGAATATGACAATCAGAAAATATGTAATGTTAATGAAATATTTTGTTTATGGCTGGGATTGAACCCCAATCTCCCACATGAAAGCCCATGGTGTTCACCATGAGACTACAGGAGCTGTTGCAGTAGTCACTCCCAGTGTTAGGTTTGTATGTGTGCTGAAAGGGGCCATATTGTCAATGCAATTGTTGACACTAAACTGCAATATATTACAACAATAAAGGAAAATTAGGACAATATTATAGTGAAATATCAAAATACAATCATGTTTGTATTGTAAACACTGAACTACTGAGTTTAAATATTATTAAACTATGGTGCAGTACTGAGTAGATACAGCATGGGGCAGTATTGGACCAATACAAGGCTCCATTGACTCCCATTATTTGATTTTAAACATTAATATTTCAAAAACTATAGGTTGCACAGGCACCAAAAGGCATAGCAATCATTCGGCACAGGAGCTTTACAGATTTAAATTACAATGGCAGCTCTAGGACAAAGTACGCAGGAGGAGAAGCATGACAAAGTGGAGATGACTTGGATGGGAAATGAATCACAATAGTGTGCATTGCATTGGCAATGCACACTGATTATTGTGTGTAAATCCAACAAAGCTTTGAACTTAGTTCACAAAGTTCCCGCGTTTGCTCAAATCAAGAATCGCAGACTAATTTTTGATTTGGCTAAAACAAAATGGTTATCTGTTCCTAACGGGTTCTGCCGGTCGGGAGTCTTACGTTTCAGGAGCTGCAGGTCGATCAGCGGGTAGGAGCCTCGTCTCTCTGCCAGCAGCACACCAGCATGACCAGCGTTCAGCCTGCCATCCGCTGAAGGACGACAGAGAAGCAAAGAGCAGCAGGTAAGAGACAGGAAGAGGAAAACCTGAGGAGAAATATTCATATTTGATAGAATCAACTGCTCTGAGCTGTGGGTTCTAGCTTCAAATACGGTGGTTTACTGTAATCAATTGTGCTGTAAAATTTAATTTAAATCAGCTGCAATAAAAAATAAACAATAAATAAAAAATTGTGCATTTAGTCTGTATTTTTTTAATAAAACATGAGTTTAAGGCCACTGCGAAACAGGAGTATGAGCTATTCTCCAACAGACTGATGCTGCATTGACTCAAAAGACTCATAAAATAATAATTATTTTATTCGTTTTGCAGCAGAGATGCATTTCTAGTCCAGAACTAAGATTTTCAATGTGAAACATCTGATTGTTGACATCACGTTTCATGGCAAAGACTGCATTATTGAACATATTGGAATAAAAATTCTGAATGCGTGTCAGAAAACTACAACTTCAGGGGTTTTAAATGTTTTTATCCCACTGTAAATCCTCACTCGTTCTGTGACCCACGGGGACGGAGAAGAAACACAAAAAAGCACAACGGGACTTTGAATCCTGGAGTTCAAATGTGTACTTCCCACACCCTAGGCCAGTGGGAAACAAGACAAAACAGAACTGGGTCTACAGTGGGCGAACACGCAGAAAAATCTTCACACAGACTGAAAACTTTTGGAATAAATGAATAATTGATAGGCGAGTGGTTAGGAACTGGAGCGTATCAGACCCCGGAGGTTGCCAGTACACATCACCTCTGCGACTCCTGCTGAATAGATGCTAAAAGCGGCCGTTAATGAGTCTGCAATCACTGTGGCAACTGTAAGCCCCCAAACACTGAGTGTAATCTGCCAAACGATCAAGTTGTGCAAGTAGTTGTCATTTTTAGTAGGGAAAGAAAAAAAATGGTGGAAAATTGGTATAATTACCCACAATTGTGTGTACAGTCCAACAAATAAATACAAAGAAACGTGACTTGTTATTTTAAAATGACCTACTTTGAGCAATAATGGGATAAAACAGGGATGAACTCTTTTTTTTCTCCGTCTGTTTTGGTGAGCCACACTGACAAGAATATAATGTGCTGGAAAACACCCCAGAAACAGATCACTCCTCCAGATTATGAACAAATGTATACAAACCCCCACCTCCAGTTTTTTCTCTTCATACTTATACTTAAAAACCTTCCCCCTTCCTCCCATCTGTCTTCACCTCCTCCACTTTTAACCTGCCTGTCATCCTTCTCCACCTGATCCATCCTTCCCATCCCTGCCTCGTTCTGCTGCCCCCTTCTCTTCCCATAACTAGGTCATTGTTTTCACGCAGCACAGAAACCGGGTCGTTTATGGAAACATGAATCAGTCAGAAAGTGCGTTTGAAGATGAAGCCCCAACAGCACTTCTGCTCCGTGTGCGCACACATTTGTGAACGAGGTTAAAATCCTTGTTCTCAAACAAACACACGAGCGCACGCCTGGCACCTCTCACCCACACACGCAGACACGAGAAGCACCGACAGGAGGAAGATGTTGAAGAGTGTGGATTCGCTGTGACTCTGTGGGCGTTTGTGCCGTGGGGCCGTTTTTCCCTTTCAAAGATTGACTGTTAAAGCCGGAGCTGAGCAATGGTGACTCAAACAGTGTGTTTTAAATATGCGGCAGCAGATGATGTGTCCCACTACCTGCAGCTGGTGCTGCTTTGTTTCCATGCTCTAACAGAGCATCTCAGCAGCTGTCAACTCACTGCTGGAACCATTTGGCTCCAAGTGTTTGAATTAAATTTACTTAGAACAAATAGGATTTACTTGTGATATTTTCTGTACAAACGTTTAACAACTCATTGTAGAAATAAATGAGTATAATGAGCTTTAATTGTTTTCATCTAATTATTTTTAAAGGGGGGTTAGTATGTAATTTCCTGGCTAATAGTTTAATTTTATACCACAATCAAGTAACTGTGTTTCCTTTACTAGTTCTGAAAATTATGAATTTATCAAAAATAAATTTGACCCTGCATCACAGCCTATCTAAACACCTTGAAATTGGCCTCTGTCTCCCTAAGAACCTCCTACTGTTTCTGACACTCCCACTTCAGCACATCTTCACGGCAGTGTTTCGAGGGAGGGGTAATCTACGGGGTGGGAGGAGCTTCGTGTAAATAGGTGGAGCTTTGTACCAGCATTGCATGTTTTTGATAACATGATAAATAAATAAATAAATACATTTTGCATAATACCCCACCTTAACTGAATAGATTTCTAAAATTAGCATGTAGCTAAAATGACTAATTTAGGGCCTACTGTACTAATCCAGACATTTTTAAAGATATTTTATCATTAATTTAAAAACAAGAACTTTATCATGACAAGAAACGGGTGAAATACCCATGCCGTGCCACAAGGTGGCGATAACGTCAACGTAAACAACAAGAAAATGCAAATGATAGCTGGTAGATGTCACAATGACTTGCTGTCTCCGCTGATGTGTCATCTCTCGGCGTCTCGACACGTTTGAATAAGCTGCAGTCAAACAGCGCTGTAGGAAGCAGTTTTATCACAAGGTTATTGAAGTTCAAGGGGAAAGCCACCAGCAGCAGACAAAACACAATTCTCCATCTTTCACTTCTTTGGTCACGACAGGGAATTCCCCAAACAATGAATCATTGCTTCATCATAAACTTTAGCTTGTTCCATCCCTCCGATGGGCTGGTGGCCTACAATTATCTCCAGTCTTGGTGTTTTGTCTTCTGTTTTATGCTGATATTACCAAACAAAATCAAGATCTTTTTATTAAATCACAGCATCAGCAAATTAATCGCGAGTGTGACACTGAAACCATAAAATCAGCTTTAACTTTTTTTTAGCACAACAATAATCTCTGGCATTTTACATTATTTCACATTATCTGACATTAAATATTAATTTCTTGGTAAAGCCCCTCCTCCTCCCATTGGTTCAGACTGTAAACAATGTCCAGATACAGGTTTGACAGATGATGTTACATCACAGCAGCTGCAGCTCAGCAGATGGGACCGCAGCTTCATTTACAGGACGCCGTGGCTTTTCAGCCCAAATCCCTCATTTCATCATCTCATCTGGTCAGCTGTTGCAACGACGCTGAGCCTCTGCCCACATCACATCACACAGGCAACAGCCAGAGGCACGCTTATCAAAGTTAATCTGTCACACAAACACACTGGTCAAAAACATAAACACGCGTAGGAGGGCGGAGTCAGAACGGAGAATTGATGGCACGAAAAATGCACCGAAAACTAGAAAGCATTGAATGTGAGTCATGAAAATGAGCAGCTAAGTCATATTTAGGGGAATTATTGGGACATTTTACACAACTACGTTATACAATGAGTTCAAAGAAATTTTACTTAGTTTGTTTCATGTAGCTCGATAAGTCAAACTAAAGTAGAACGCATTAAACGTGATAAATTTATCACCTATATGACGTCTATTACATTTAAAGTTTACGAAACATTTACCTTCCAGGTGTGCAATACTGTTCTCTAAGTCCTGCTTGACCTCTTTGGCTTCGTCCTGCACTGCTTCGGTCCAAGTGCTGCCTTCACTTCGCTCCGGCCCCCGAGTTCCTCTCCTGCGAGCTGTCCAAGCTGCCCTGAGCTGCCGTATAAGAGCTGGGAGCTCCAGGGTCAACGGGAGGCCGCCACAAGTAACAGGAGGGGTCCTGAGGGGTCCCCAAACCCGCGAGCCAGGAGGCTCGTCCGGATAGACCCCGACGGTAAGGCTGGAGTCCCGTATCCTGAAATCTGGGCCCCAGAGCCTGTCCAGTACTGGCATTGCAACGTTACGCACAAACGGACGGGGCGAAGGGAAGGAGGACTGGAAGTGAACGAGGGTTAAAGTTAAAGGCTGAGACCGAAGAGATGGCGGCAACAAGAAAACGGGGAGGAGGGAGCTGCTCACCATCAGACGGGCATTAAAAATGAACAGGACAAATTAATACAGTAGCAGGTCTGCGTACACGACGGAGTATTCAAAACACAGAGGAGAAGAATCAGCAGGACAGGCAGAGTGCGAGGAAAAGAAAAAAAAAGATGCAAATCAGGACAAAGTCAGAGAAACCCAAAGAAGAATCTGTCACTCAGAGGCTGCTTCTTCCTTCTGCTGCATCCTCTCAGTGTTGTTGTTGAGTGGAAAAACCCCTCCTCTCTGCTCCAAACTCACTTCCACACACTCTCACTCTACCTACACACTGCTGCCCCAACGGCAGACCAATAGGATTTCAGTGAATCCCTTGTGTTTTAGGACGTGACATACTCACCACAGACGCACACGCAACGATGCCGTCCCTGCATGTTCTTCACGTTGGCTGATTTACACAATACTTTAATCTGAAAACACTACAAGATGCCCCACATATATTTCAAGCTAACGTTTGATATCTGGTTGAATTGAGCCTGACTTTGTCCATCGTCAATAACAAAAGCATCATCGTTCTAGTAAAGAATAAGGGCGATTTCGTCTAATTACACTTAAAAGTCAGCAGCTAACAGATAAGTAAACTGCCTTTCTGTTGACCTGAGCGGTCGAGCAGAAACAAAAAAGGAAACACTTCCTGGAACTCTTGAAAACAAGTCAATGATCAACAAGAATCTCAGTAACTCTAAGCGAGTACAATCTGTTTCTAACACTGTCACATTTTTTTCAGGGTAAAGTTCCTTGGAGGAACGATCACATGCGGACAAAAGTATCGACACGCTCGCGCTGAGATAATGAGATACGAATCCTGGAACATCACAAAACAAGAAACAGATCCTAAGAAATCATTAGAACATGAGCACTAAGATTATAAAAAGCACAGCCTGAGAGAAAGTCTGAGAAGCAGGAAAGGAAATGAACACGCCAGTGAAGGAGTGAAAGTGTGCAGTGGAAACATGCAGCTGTTACTGTAACTGATTAATAACTGACTATAGTGTAATTTTATTTTGTTAAATTATGCATCAAAAGGATAAAGGATTCGGCATAGACGTCTATAACTTGACTATTTTTGCTCACAAAATATTTAGGCTACCCGAAATGAAACGGCGCACAGATTTGTGAGAAAGAATAAAACAAAAAGAAGACATTTCACAAAAATAAAAAAGACACCCAAACGAGGTCAGTGGGAGTCTTGATAAATAAACTGTGGAGTGGATCAGACTGCTGGCTTCAAATCCAACAGACCTGGACTTAGAACCACATTTGGATCCATCTCTTTCTCTCTCTCACACACACACACACATTTGCACAGCTATCTAATTGGGGACATTCCATTGACTTCCATTACATTCCTACAGCCTAACCCTGACCACAAACCCCAAGGCTAACCTCACAGGTACCTACCTGACCCTAAAACTAACCTGAACTCAATTCATACCTTGGCCCTAAACCCAACCCCCAACCCACCAATGTTATTTAAACCAAATGGGGATTTGACTTTTGTCCCCAAATGTAGGATTTTTGTCTTAAAATTGCCCCCAAATGTCACCAAAGCCGAACCTACACACACACACACACACACACACACACACACACACACACACACACACACGTCATTTTGGGAGACTTGCATCCTACCCTGGCCTAAACGAAACCGACAAACTTTAATTTAAAATTCATTTTCTGCTCCATTTTCTAACCACGTGTTCCTTCTCAAACAAAACGTGCCTAAAATGTTTCCGCACATTAAACTAAAAGGTCTGTATTATAATAGATATAATAGATTTACACATAAGGACAAGAGGCTGGTCATGTTTTATTTTAGGCAGAGCTGTGTCAAAAAACTAGGCCTAATCAAATTTAGAGGCCAGTAATTTATGGCACTTTTTTTTTTCAATTTGTAGTTGGGGTTTCACTGGGTTAGTGTGGTTTTATAAGCACATCTTTGTTAGTAAATTAAAAAAAATCATTCTGGTTTTTTTTTTTAATCAGTACTTTATCTCAGTACAGGGATTTCAGGGGTCCAAAGCAGTGCTGTCCAACCCTGGTCCTTGAAGGCCACTACCCTCCATGTTTTAGATGTTCCTCTGTATCAACACGCCTGATTCAAACGTATAGGTGATTAACAAGCTTCTGCAGAACTTTAAGAGACACTGAAGGGGTAAGTCAGCCAGGCTTGGGCAGTATGACGATATTGTGGTAAACCTCGGTATTTAAAAATTAATGACAGTATATTAACCCTCTGGAGCCTAGTGACATGACCTAATTAAATCGCCCTAGCCCAGGGTCTGCAACCTCTATGATCAAAAGAGCCATTTCTGCTGCTTGTCTCAGGAATTAAATGTGTCCAGAGCCACAAAACAAGCTACAAATGTGATTACCAACTGATGGTCCATGGGCCTTTTTGAGGCCTTTTTGGGAACCTTTACGGCCAGTGGAGGTGATATTATAAAACTAAAAATATGTAGTGAATTTTATTATTTATTATTATTTTTATACCTCAGGACAAATGAAAAGATCATATCCATGTAAACAAAAAAAAAAATACTGTATATAGTTTATACCCAATTTCATAAAAACTAGTAAAACTTAACTATTCCGACATATTTTTTTTCCTAATTCTTGTTATTATGTAGTCTTCAAATTCTTTAAAGGTAATTCTGATGGATTTGAGAGAAAGATCATAGAAAGAAAATAAATTAAGTAAACAACAGGCTAGCATGAGCTAACATGTTTTACTTTTTGTATTAGTAGTGTTGATCACATATTTGCATACAAATCGATTTTTGTTGCGAGTATAAAAAACTAAACAAAAAAATTCTGTTATGTTTGGTCACGCTTTCTAAGAGCCACTGCAGAGGGACCAAAGAGCCACATGTGGCCCCAGAGCCACAGGTCGCAGACCCCTGCCCTAGCCAGAAAGATAAGTCTTTCTCTGTGACTCTGTTTCAATTTGTGCCAAAAGTAGAGATTTCAAACTTTACACCAGTTTTTAGACCTGTGTCGATAGACCAAATGAAATCAGGGTTATGACAAACAGTCTACACCACTTTCTCTTTCTAGACGTGACAGTCCTATTTGATGTGCTTTGTAGCAGCAGGCAGAAGGAAATATGGTGGTCTCGTGAAAAAAAGAAGCTCAATCTGCTGCGGCCCTTCTCTTGAGCCAAAAAAAACATAAACCGTACGACCTCATTTCTGACCGAGACCCAAACTGATTTGACAAGTACCAAAAGTCTACAGGAAGAAGAAAATAATAATAATAAAATAAAATTAATAGAAAGATGTTAAATGAAGTTCTGTGGTGGAGAGCACGAGAAAGTAACTCAACCCCCCACATCCCACCCTGGAAATACCAATGAAAAAGATCAATACCACCCAACCCTAAAGCCATCCACTGAATCAGAAGTGTTGGAGCAGGAAAAAAAACAAAACAACATTCAGGATTCAGGCTCTCAAGGACCAGGATTGAACACCACTGATTAGCATAAATAACAAAAAATCTTTAAGATCAGAGTCATTGATTAGGAACAAATGCTACAATATAATTTACTGACTTTTTTTAACTGCTTGTGCGTTGGTAAAATACAGCGGGTAAAATAAGTATTGAACACGTCACCATTTTTCTCAGTAAATATATTACTAGAGATGATAATGACATGAAATTTTCACCAGATGTCGGTAACAACCCAAGTGATCCATACATACAAAGAAATCAAACCACAAATGTCCAGAAATGAAGTTATTTGTA